GCTCACATAAGCTTCCACTGGGTCAAGGGGCACTCTGGTACCAGTGGAAACGAAAATGTTGATAAGCTTGCTAAAAATGCCCACATTGTAGCTTCTAACTACTCGTACACAGCAATTCCAGTCTCCTTCTTGTGCAATGAACTTCACTCTGTCATCATGGCTTGGTGGCAATCTGACTGGGAAAACAGCCCCACCGGACGCAACACCTTTCAATTTATCCCAGACGTCATCAGGAGGCCTCACCTGAAGCATCTGAGCACGACTCACGTTCTTACTCAAATCCTAACGGGGCATGGTAACTTCAAAAGTTATTTACACAGGTTCCTTAATAAAGGAAATGGACTATGTGACTGTAACATTCAAGAAAAGGACGACTCTTTCCACCTCATCTTTACCTGCACGAAATTTACTCAATACCGTCAACTGCTACTGCGCAAGGTAACTGACAAGGGACACCATTGGCCCTGTCCCCTCAATGCCCTCATTGAAGACAGGGACACCTATCGGACTTTTGTGCAGTACATTAACAACCTGAGGTTAGCGGAGCACCATATTCCAATCAACGGTCAGATTACCTCACCAATATCACCCATGCCCAGTAATCATGACTCACCGGATCTCGTCTGAAATCCCTCCACATCATCATCACAAACGGTCTACCTACTCTTCGCTGTGCCAATCCTGGCTCCATTCTTAGGATACAGGTTCTCTACTTTGTCTTGCATGTAAGCCTCATAAGGCGCCACCTATCTCATCTGTCCAATCAAATTGTATATAATCTACCTTGTTAATTGTATATCATTTTAAGCTGTTCATTAATCTGTTCCCGGCAGGCGCCCATGGATTCCTCCTTTCCTTTCTACCTCTTTTCCCCTCCCCCACCCCCTACACACATCCCTTCTCTTTCTTCTCCTCCCTCACTCACCCCTTTCTCCCTATCCTATTCCTTCCTTGGCTATACCCTCGAGTTCGGCCAATTACTTTAAATCTTATGTCTTATGTATTCAGAGTGGTCAGAATCAGAGTCAGATGGCTTAACACGAGTTAGTTATTAAGCGTCAAAGTGGTTGAACTACTAAATCGTGTCCCCATACACATTCTAACGTCTTAGGCGAGAACATCTTAACGGGTTTTACTGTACTATTATAAAATGACAAAAAAAGCTTACTTTGAGGTAGAGATGAGTTTTATTTTTTTATTTTCGTTAATTTTGAACGCTAATAACGTGTAAAATATTCATTAAGAAATATGACACATGACCCCTTTTATGTCTTCACTCTGTCGACTTTTAATTAAGAACCAGAATTTAATAGTATNGTACTTTTCCTTTGTTTAAGGTTATTTGGGCAGTTTATTCTCTGTTGTATTCTCAAGCAAACAATACATACAAGTACAGTACAATATTTTCTGAGGAAACACGCATACTTATCCTTTTTTAACCCCATTCCCGATAACCTGGCATTTTCACAAACTCGACCACCCTTCAGTCCACATTAGGCCGAGTTTTCGAGGCTCTACTGTATATATATAGTTATATATATATAATAGTTATAATATCTATATATAAATAGTAGATGAAAAATAGCCATTATACAAGGGCTATTTTTTGATAAGGTCTGTTTGTGAATGAGAGTGAGAATAACACGTGATCGCGGCTGTGCATATGTGCATCTGCTCCGTGCATGCTTTGTGCACATTTAGACACCATTTGCAGCCGTATTGTCTGTCTGTGTGCTGATCTGTAAAAGTTTATAATGTTTAAGAAAATTGAGTCACCCGCCGACTGTGAGATACGATCTGTTATTCAATTCTCGAGTGCAAGAAACTTGGCAGCAGCAGAAATTCACCATCAGATTTGTGAAGTTTAGGGTGATAATGCTATGAGTGACAGTAAAGTTCGAAAGTGGGTGAGAATGTTCAAGGACAGGCAGGTTAATGTGCATGATGAGCCATGCCCTGGCCGACCTTCTATGATTTCTGAAAATTTGGTTTGTGATGTGGATAACAAAGTTTGAGAGGACTGACAACTCAACATTTCAATGTTATCAATTGAATTTCCACAGGTTTCAGATCAGTTCTGTATACCATTGTTTCGAAGAAACTGAATTATCAAAAATTGTGTTCTCAGTGGGTTCCAACACTGCTTTCTGATGATCACAAAACAAAAAGATTGGGCAGTGCTTTATCATTTGTGACTCAATATGATCAGGAAGAAGATGAATTGTTGGACCACATTGTTACAGGAGAAGAGACTTGGGTGTCTCACATGACTCCTGAGTCCAAGCAACAGTCAATGGAATGACGACACACATCTTCGCCAACCAAAGCCAAACAGTCCATTTCAACACGAAAAATTATGGCAACTGTCTTTTGGGACAGGAAAGGGATTTTGTTAGTGTATTTTATGCCAAGAGGCACAACAATCAATTCTGATGTGTATTGTGTGATCTTCAGAAAATTCCGGCATGCCATACAAAACAAGCAGGATGGTCTACTGTCTTCCGGTGTGATGTTGCTTCATGACAATGCAAGGCCACATATTTCTGCACAAACACAAGGTCTAATCAGTTCTTTTGGATGGTAACAACTAGATCATCCATCTTACAGTCCAGACCTTGCATCCAGTGATTTTCACTTGTTTCGATACTTAAAGGAGTTTTTGGTGGTTAACGGGTTTTTTTTTGCAGTTCTATAGAAAAGGCCTCTTCCCACTCTGAGAGCACTAAGAGGCCTAAGAACTAACAATGAGAAATGTAAAATGTATTATAATGTGTAATGTGAAGAAGGAGCGTAACAAATACGTACTATTTAAGGGGGTGTTGCCTGCAGAGCAAGGGTGCTGTAAAGGTGTTAAGAGAAACCTGCCAACATTGTTGGGGGAAGATTGGGATAGGAGAGAAACAGTTCAATAAGAATAGCAGAGAAATAATACACCTCTGCAGACACAAATTACTAGTCTTATGCTAATGTGGTTTTTAGGATAGAACACCAGCCAGAAGAGGGTGCAAAATACATATATTTATTTATTATTTTTTTTATTGTTCCAAATAGAAGGTTCTTTGAAGCGAATTTGAAGAGAATTAATGCCTTAAACAGCAAAAGGAATAAATATATGCCGTCTGCTGCTAAAAAAAATCAAAAGATACCTATTAGGAATTGGGCTAGAAACCAGATCCAACCAATCACCAGAGAGGTGTGTACAGTGTTCGGTGGTACAAGTAAGCAGGAAAACATAGAAACATTTTTGCTTTCACTATATATTCACTAGTGTAAATCGTTCGAGACTGCATACTGTAATATCAAAACACTTACTAAAACACGTTTTCTTGCAGCCGAAGTTTATAAGAAAAACTTTCTAATGTTTTCGGTCTTGTTAAAAGACCTTTCTCAAGAAAAATAAATCAAATAAAACAACAAATTGTAAATTGAACGCTTCGTACAACTAACACGTTTTTCGAATATTTTCGAACTAGCTTATAATTCGTTGCAATTTATGACGTCATTGTGAACTTAGCAACGGAAATATAAAAAAGATTACATAAATATCTAAACACAATACATATAGTTACCATCTCCCAACCTCATTCAAAAATACATAGCCTAAGATACATAATAACTACTTCCCTCAATTATTAAGTTTATATTAAGCTAGAGGACCATGCTGCCGATATTTTTGTCGATTCTTGAAAGTTGACTGCAAGGCCTTTATGCTTTGCCTTACAAATCTTCCAGGCTTCCGCGTAATGCTGGTGTTTCCTGTCGCGGACTATCTGCATTAGTCTTGCTTGGTCCCATTCAACCTTGACGTCTCGCTGGTCCGCTAGAACGTAGGTAGCTAGCGCAGTGCACAGTTGTTTTTTTCTTATATTTGCTTGATGTTCTGCTAACCTGTCTTTGATACATCTTCCTGTTGCCCCTACATACATTNTGAAGATTTATCTGGCATTGATGTTGTTAATTCTACCACTTCAGAAGTAGTCATGGAAAGATATTTAAAAAATGATATTCCATTTATAGTGAATAATGCAACTAAAGGATGGGCTGTGAATGAAAATTTTAATATAAACAATATTACAAAAGTAAGTTGTTTTTGATTATTTGATAAAATTTTTTCCATATAAATTCATTGTAAAATTATACAAGGCATTCTAATAATTTCAATTACTTTATTTCACTTTTCATTTCTAGGAGTATTTAGCCAATAATTCATCTAAACTGATATAGTATTTACTTTTTATTAAAATTATATTTTAATTTTAAAAATTACATTAACAAAGTTTTTCACTGATTGATTTGTTATTCACTATTTAGTGTAAACATGTCAATGAATTATTATTTTCAATTTTTATTGGATTCTTTTAAGAGATTTTAAAACTTTATAGAGCTATCCAACATTATATACAAACAATTTATCTTTCATATTCTTGAGACAGAGAAGAGAGAATTAATTTAAAAAGAAAAATTGCAGGAATGAATCCAGTAACTTAAGTGAACGTCTGATGCAAGAAAATAAAATTTATATACATTTTCATTTAAATATCTACTTTCAATAAAGTTTTTATAATGTTGTTTAGTAATACCAGTTTTCTACTGCCAGATAGCTGAGGCTGCAAAAATACTCTGGAGAATACAGGTTGTATTCTCAAGGCTTTCCGTTGGTTATTTGATCTAGTTGAGTTGGGCTCCATTTCTCACTTCTAACTCTATCTTTGCAGGCTGGCTGAATTCACAATGTGTACGAATAAAGGCTCTCTTAGTACCCACAATAAATACTATGTTTTCAGATCATCATTAATAATTCTACTTTAACATGAATAGTAATCATCAGAAAAATTGAAAAAACAATTTTTTCTAACAGATATGTGAAGATTTATCTGGCATTGATGTTGTTAATTCTACCACTTCAGAAGTAGTCATGGAAAGATATTTAAAAAATGATATTCCATTTATAGTGAATAATGCAACTAAAGGATGGGCTGTGAATGAAAATTTTAATATAAACAATATTACAAAAGTAAGTTGTTTTTGATTATTTGATAAAATTTTTTCCATATAAATTCATTGTAAAATTATACAAGGCATTCTAATAATTTCAATTACTTTATTTCACTTTTCATTTCTAGGAGTATTTAGCCAATAATTCATCTAAACTGATATAGTATTTACTTTTTATTAAAATTATATTTTAATTTTAAAAATTACATTAACAAAGTTTTTCACTGATTGATTTGTTATTCACTATTTAGTGTAAACATGTCAATGAATTATTATTTTCAATTTTTATTGGATTCTTTTAAGAGATTTTAAAACTTTATAGAGCTATCCAACATTATATACAAACAATTTATCTTTCATATTCTTGAGACAGAGAAGACAGAATTAATTTAAAAAGAAAAATTGCAGGAATGAATCCAGTAACTTAAGTGAATGTCTGATGCAAGAAAATAAAATTTATATACATTTTCATTTAAATATCTACTTTCAATAAAGTTTTTATAATGTTGTTTAGTAATACCAGTTTTCTACTGCCAGATAGCTGAGGCTGCAAAAATACTCTGGAGAATACAGGTTGTATTCTCAAGGCTTTCCGTTGGTTATTTGATCTAGTTGAGTTGGGCTCCATTTCTCACTTCTAACTCTATCTTTGCAGGCTGGCTGAATTCACAATGTGTACGAATAAAGGCTCTCTTAGTACCGACAATAAAAAAAGTTAAACTATTAGTTTTAAAACCAACATACATAATCACAGTCTATTGATATAAACATTTTAATACAAAACTAACTTCATACACAAGCAAGCTTAATGAAGTACAGTAATTATAGCCAGACTCTACTGAATTATCAATTTGACTAAGTTAATAAAATATAATTTCTTTCATTATAAAATATTATATGGAATTGAATTTGTCTACAGTTTATGTCTGTAGTAGAAAATAATTATTGAAAAGTTTTAAAATAAAAAATTTATTTTAATATTTAATGTAATAATTTTTAAAGTATAAAAGTTTTGATAATTTCAGTACAAAGTATATCAAATGTAAGCCTTTTTAGTAGAAATTTTTTAAAATTCAAAAATAAAATATAAAGTGAATAAATTATTTAAAGTGTTCTTTGACAAAAATTTTAAATTTGTTTTTAAGATATGCTGTTTTTGTGATTTATAAACTGAATTTTATAAATTTCTTTTATTTTTCTGAAGTTATAATATTATATTATATCAATAAATTCATTTTAGTGTTACTATTCAGTTATACAGCTTTGTTTAACTGAATATTAAACTGCTCAAAGATTTCAGAATATGATACTATAAATAGTTTTACTTATAGTGAATATGTGGCATAAAATAAATCTATATGTTTATATATATTATATATACAGTATATATATAACATCTCAATAACTTGATGTATTATTAATCATCCAACTGTCAGCCAAATTAATCAGGCAATATTACACTACAGTTAAGAATTAGAAATTATGTGATTAGAAATTAGAGGTAAACATTAACTCTTATCAAAAATAGTAACTATAATTTAGAATAGTCTGGAAGAAAAGAATCAGCCCAGAGCGAGAGTCAAACCTACAACCTCCATTTAATGTGTGTGCACTGACAAGTTACACCACCCAGATCTCTGAGTGACTCTTCCCTTCCAGACACATTTTAAACTTTATATATAACCAAACAATAGTTACCCATGTTGGCCAGTGGCATTGGATATGTCCTCAGTCAGTGTTGTGAGTAACTGATGGATGGTTATATCTAAAGCACCTTTCTCAAAGTGGGCGATAACACCCCCTTGTGAGTGCTGGAGGCTTTCAGGAGGGCAGTAGAAGGCTCAGTGATTAAATATCAGTTTTATTTCTTCTTATTGAAAAATTCTTTGATCTCAGAAATAAAATATGGGTCACACCCTATCTATCCTATCCATATAATACAGTAGAGTCTCGAAAACTTGGCACTCGATAACATGGCAGTCCGGATAACTCGGCCACACCCTGGCAGGGCAAAAAAAATCCTTAGTTAATTAATTTTCATTATAGACAGCTTTATGCCTCATAAAGCATTTTTCTGAGGTCTGTCTTATCAGGTAAATTACTGTATACAGTGTATTCATTAATTTTCATTTTCATGTAGTAAAGGCTCTATGCCTTCATAAAGGAGGAACTTTTCCTTTGTTTAAGGGTATTTGGGCAGTTTATTCTCTGTTGTATTCTCAAGTAAACAATACATACAAGTACAGTACAATATTTTCTGAGGAAACACTCATACTTATTTTTTTTAACCCCATTCCCGATAACCTGGCATTTTCACAAACTCGGCCTCCCTTCGGTCCACATTAGGCCGAGTTTTCGAGAC